TTAAAATAAAATTTTATTCTTTTAATGTACTTTCTATGAATATTTTTCTAATCGACTATTTCCTACAAAATCCCCCAAATTTTAATAAAATTTAAATCAAATTAAATTAATTGTAGACAGTTTAGAGACATTCAAATTTATATCAAACATTATAATCTTTATGAACCCCCAAAATAACACTTTCAAAGTAAAACAAAATAACAGCGTCTGTTTCTAGCCTTTTTTTACAAAGAAACTTAGTGACGCTTTCTCTCATAACTTCTTTCTCTCTTTTTCTCTACCCCTTCGATATCAATATATAACTTCCGTTAAGTTAACTGTTTAAATGTGTCAATATCTGCTAACTCACTCATGTCTTCTCCCTCCGCCTCACTTCCTCACTTCGTTAATTTACATATACTTAATACGGCCCGTCAAAAATGTGTAAATTTTCTTTTCATTTTTTGTTTGGAAGTAAAGTCTGATGATCTTCAGTCCTTTTAAAAGGGCTGTGGTGAAATAATTTATTACACGGAACCATAAAGTGGTCTGTTTTTATTTAAATTATTTGCTCTGAATTTACATTGAGCTCTCTGAATTTATCCTCCTTAGGTTTACCAATACGGATTACCTAGTTTTTCATAAACTATATATATATATATATATATATATATGCCGTCCGAAAGCAGAGTTTGAACGCATTTTTCGTTCCAAAATGTTGACGCCAGATCATATGCTCTCTCCCAGAAACTAAATGGGATCGACTCAGCATATTTACAGTATAAATCAGATTTTCTAGCCGCCCTTACAGGCGGGTGTGCTCGAAAACCGTTATTGATTGCGTCTGTCTGTCTGTCTCTCTCTCTCTCTCTATATATATATATATATATATATATGCATGTTTATGTGTTATAGTGTGCATGTGATATTGATATTCACCTGTATTTGTGGATGAGAAATGATAAATTACAACCAAGTAAAATAGACAAAAATAGCAACAAAAATGCACGATGAATTTTATTTTTCGATTGTTCTTGTCTTGCTTCTTCTAACCAGAAAATATTGGTTTATTGGTGCCTGTTTCCCCACTGAAATCTCGTAGGTTCGGGATCAAGCGCGAGATTTTATTGAGCAATAATTCAAAAAGATGGACGTCGCTCGTCAATCTCACTGGTTCGTAATGTATTTAGGACAGGGAGAAATGGACTCAGTGACTAGTGGCGTGGAACTGAAGGTGAAATGGTTTGAAGCGTCGAAATGTATGTTCTGTCTCTCCTTCTCTGGCCTCTGACACTGTCTCCTCCGTTGGGAATCGAGCAGGGCGATTTGCATAATAGAAGAAATTGAAGACGACCAGGACCAACGCAGGATTTGTTAATAGTGACATTTTCACATTGTTATCGACATTTTTTCTTCTTTTTTGCTGTGGCAAAAGGTGAGAATGGATGTCTATTCCAATGCGTATACCTTTGTAAATGTGTTTTTCTGTGCTTTTCTGTAGACTTTTACATGTGTCTAATTTTGAATGATTACGTTGGAAGTGTGAGGCTAACGAAAAATGAAATCCTTAAAGCGATGTCGAATTTCGTTAATTCTCTGGTTTCTGGAAGTTGTTCTTTTGTGTGTGGAAAACAACAACAACAATAATAATAATAACAATAATACATTAATCCCTCGTATTCGGAATGCTTCGAAATTAAAATATATGCATGTTTTAGTATCACTAGAAAAATTGCAATTTTGTTTCAGTATTCAGTCAGTTATGTTCCATACGTGATACACACCTAAGAGATAATGTATCTTTCGATACATGACTGACGAGGCAGATTTTTTTCCTGCAGTAGGTTGCCATTTCTTTCTGAGGTAGACAAGTTGCCATCCAAGGCTATAGAACCCGGTCTGTTTTACTATTTACCCATAGCTGGGGGGAAGAAGAGGATTTGCCAAGGGTATTAGCACGTAAGTGAATGTAATGGATTCGAAATTGGCTCTCCGATTTCTCAATCCGAGCCGTTACTCCACTGTTGGTGTCTTATCAAGTGATGATGTTGCTTGCAAAATAAAGGGTTTTAAGTGTTCAAAAACCAACCAAAGTCTCTCAGTAAGGGATAACATTGTTACGCAATATATGATGACATATCAGTATACAAGTATATGGTAATTCATAATAAATAACGTGGCAATATACAATAATAGATTGTAATTAGGTTAATGTTTCGTTGGTAGTCAATTTCTGCGATCATATCACTTCTTACTTCTGGTCACATAACTCCCCAGACTGGAACCCCCTTGGGCGCTGCTGAGAGAGAGACTAACAAAACTCCTTGCAACACCAAAAATGAACTGAATGCTAAGATTATGTCAGCATTCACCAATTTAAACAAGGAGACCGTCCAGAAAAGTTGCAGGAGATTCCGAATTCGTCTGGAGGCTGTGATTGAAGCCAATAGGGATTTTATTGAATAAATTTACTCCTTATCATTTCAAGATATTTTTGCGCCATTTTGGTAAATATATCTGTTAAACTGAATTTTCATTTTTGTGTTATTTAGACGACAATTCATCCATCGCATACTGTATACACTATTTTCAATAGCCATGCCCCATTCTTTGGTCAGCGATATATATATATATATATATATATATATATATATATATATATATAAAATCGTCATAATCAGTTAAATCATCCTTGATAATGACTAATGGATTAGACGAAAACAGTTCATGTCCAGAAAATACCTGTACGTATGCAGCAAAATTAAATGAATGAAATGTTTAATTGTAGTTCCTCATCAAAGTTCTCCAACAAAACATGCATAAAAAAGAATTGCTGACCAAATATTCAATGCTAATTTCTTACGCGCTATTGTACACAGACATCAGGAAGCCTGTCATTATATTTTAGCAGTATGTGCACTTACGACGTGGAAACTTGTAGTTTGGGCTAGTGAGTTGAACACCTGACTTTATTGAATAAATATGATACCGTACGAATTTGGTAGTGTACCTTTTTGATTTGGTGTGTAATTTCAATATATTCTTTCATATATACTTATATTGTATATATTATACTTACATATGATTTTATTTCTTCAGGCTATAGTAAGAAAGTTATTGCCTGAATAAATACAATCATTGTATTTCAAAAATGTTTTTATATAATGTCTTATAATGTAATATATATATATATGTATGTATTATATTTAAAAAATGACAAACTGGAAATGATTTTTATGACGGGCTTCATGTCCGATGAAATCCTAACGGATGAAATGTGTCAAAAAATCTTTTCAGTTTGTCATATTTTTTCAAAATACTCTTTGTTGATATATAAAATTATGCAAAATTAGATATCGTTATATATATATATATATATATATATATATATATATATATATATATATATATATAGAGAGAGAGAGAGAGAGAGAGAGGGGAAAGCAAGCGAAAGTGACTGATATTTTATGTGTTTAGATGAGCATTTATATACACGTATTCGCTAATGATTGCGCGTGTTGTTTCGATGTTCTAATTCTTTGCATTTTGGACTATCGCAAAATAGGCTTCAGTCTACGTTTCAGGAACACTTGAAGAAAATCTATTTTACTGTATACAGCTTGTGTGACAAGCACTTACAAATGCAAATTGAGCAATTGATAACCATAATAGTTCTGTAAGTTCCATTCGCCGTGGAGATCTCAAGAATATGGTATGAAGTTAATTTTTCGTATTTCTATAAGACTGAAAATGTTCATGATCGCCTCTTATGCAAATCTACATCAAGCCATGAGTGCTCCTTTTGTATCGATAAAAATATTTTTTTTAAATATTGTCCTGCTGCTTTCATTGGTAAGGGTTTAAGTCAATGACTCTTCAGGGAAATTATATCTTGGAATCGATGCATTTTAGGAAGGATTTTGGGTGGGAAAATGTCCGGTCGATCAATATATGATCTTTTCTCCCAATTTCGTTCATACAACAACAGTGACCACCTCTACGCCACCCAGTAACCTAAAATATCCGCATCAATTTCCGACCATACCTACTCACGACGCCAAACATATTGCTTGATTGCCTTCTGGAGTGGCTCAGTTTGAACATTATGGGTCAGGAGATCTTAATAGTACGGTATTGATAAATACAACATATTCAAATAGTTGAAAGTCTTGAAAGACATAAATAAATGAAACTTAATATATATATATATATATATATATATATATATATATATATATATATATATATATATATATATATATATATATATATATATACACACAGAAATTATGAAATGTACAAAGTCCGACAATTATTTTAAGATATTTTTATGTTTATACATTATTTTTTTTATTCTCCGTAGCTCGATGGGTTAAGGTATGTCAGGGTAAATGACGGTTCCGTATAGGATACAGGTTCGATTCCTGTCGGAGGACGAATATTTTCTATGAAAATGTCTCGGACATTCAGGCCGGTAAATGTTACTAATACTGTTTATTATAAAACAGAGTATCTACTTAAATATTTATATCTATAAAAAGAATGTATAAATATAAAAAGTTCTTAATATATATATATATATATATATATATATATATATATATATATATATATATATATATATATACGATGAGAACGAAAGTAATATATAAATTCCAACGTTCACAGCATTAATCCAAAAGAGGGCTCGATACCGATAGTAGAGCGATAATTATTTATTTATTAGAATTTTATCATATCGACAAAACCATTTTACTCACTACGAAGATACAATCAGGATTGTTCATAACAATTTTCGATTCTCACCCGTCGAAGTGCAGTTGAAATTAACTGAAACGAAGTTGCATCTTCGTAGTGAGCAAAATGATTTTGTCTATATGATAAAATTTAATATATATATATATATATATATATATATATATATATATATATATATATATATAAGCGATCTCAGTTTCGCTTTGTCCGAGAAATCAAAATTCACCCATGATAGGTTTGTTCTTATCTGAACTGGTATTATTCTATCTGAAGACATGATTAGAAAGTAAACAAATGGAAGAAGCGCAAATGCAAATCCAGAAATAATTAGAAAAAATGCAAAAAAAAAAAAACCGGAAAGGAAGGACAACAAAAGTGGAAAAGAATAAGAAAATACGGAAAATATTATAACAAATGGGATACAAAGGAAAGGAAATTATCAAAAAAAAAAGAAAAAAAAAGAGAAGAAAGAAAACAAAAGAAAGGAAACGTGAAAGGTAACAAGTGTAATGAAAGGAAAGCCACAGATTAAGAATGAAAAAAGAAAACAAATAAGTAAGAAATGCAAGAGGATGGAAAGGAAAAGCGGAAAAGAAAGAATTGTAAGAAATAGAAAGAAAGGAAAAGTAAAAGATTGAAGAAGAAAAAAGGAAGGAATAGAAAAGACGAAAAGAAAGAATTGTAAGAAATGGAAAGCAAAAAAGAAAGAAACACAACAGAAGAAAAAGACGAAAGAAGGAAAAGAGTAAGGTAAAAAGAAAGGAAAGTAAAGGAAAGATTTTTAGGAAATAGTAAAAAAGAGAAGAATGAAAAAAGAAGAAAAGCGGAAAGAAAGAAAAAAGGAAGAATAATAAAAGGAAGAAAATTAGGAGAAAGCAAAAAATTGTAAGAAATGAGAAACACGAAAAATAATTATAAAAAAGGAAAAGAGGAAAGAGAAGAAAAGAAAGAAAAGAAGAGAAAAGGAAAGAATGCAAAAGATGAAAAAGAAAAGAGGAAGAAAAAGAAAAGTAGAGAAAAGGAAAGAATGGTAAAAAAAAAAAATGGAAAGCAAAGAAAAAGAAGAAAAGAGTGAAAAGAAAAGAGGAAAAAAAGAAAAGTGGAAGATAAAGAAAACTAGAAAGGAATGAATGGTAAGAAATGGAAAGCAAAGAAAAAAAAGAGGGAAAATAAAAGAGGAAGAAAAAGAAAAAGAAAAGTAGGGGAAAAGCAAGAATGGTAAAGTTTGCAAAAAGTAAAAAAAAAAAATGACTGCAAGTGTATGGATACATGTTCGCGTACATTCTGACAAGATAATGGAAGATATGCCAAATGACTTTACTGCAAAATTCGTCAAACCCGTTCCTCCGAAGAGGGCGATACTGCGATGGGAACATAAACTGTTTCATACAGGATCAATTAAGGACAACACGAGGATAGGATGACCCTAAATGCGAAGGGACACATGTACATAAGTAAAGGTTTCTTTGCTACGACCACCCAAAAAGTCACTACGAAAACGATTTTACGAGCTACGTGTTCCCAAAACCACAAAGTTAACACATGACAATCTCGATTTCGTCAATGAAAGTGAATAAACTTAATCCAAAGTTGAAGACTTTCCGACCAGAAAATAATCGGCGACTCTCCATGGACAAAACTCGATGTCACAGCAGAACAAAAAATACAATGAAAGAAGGCATGCATCCAGGGTACCACTTGTTTGAAATGTTACCCTCATGGTAGCGTTTTAGTTTAATGAGTCCTCGAACATTTTTTTGTTGGTGTCTTTTCTAATAGGCGTTCTCTCAATCATTCAAACAAGCTCTTTTGGTACGCTATTCTCTACTTACCTCTGCTCAATATAACCTGTGTGTAAAATTTCCTAATCGTGATTTTCCCATTATGTGCGGAAGATGTTTCAACTGTCTTTTTCTGATTTTCGATATAAAGGTCCTTTTTGTTTACAATTTCTGTAAAAGTTCGTCGTTGCTCATGCCTTCAGCCATGGCATTCTCAGCATCCTTCTGTAGAACCATGTTTTGGCTGCCGTAATTCTTGCATAATCTGTCATGAGTATGCTCATAGATTGATATTATATAACAGTTTATCTGTCTATATTTCTGAGAAAAAGCATTATGTAAGCAACGCCTTAACGAACGCCTTTATCCACTGTGGACACATGGCACAGTGGATAAAGGCGTTGGTTAGATCCAGTGACAGGACCCAAAGGGTGTGAGTTTAATACCCGGTTAAAGCAGTGGAGAACTTTCAGAGGGCAATTAACAGGAGATAACTGATAACTGACATCCATTAAACATGGCACGTGGAACTAGAACAGTCTACCCCAGTGATGGAAATAAAGGGTTCAGTTCGACATTCCATCTATCTGAAGAAGGCCGGAACGTACAACGGCTGAAACGTTGTAATAAATATGGCGACAAAGATGAGGACAATAGTACGAATAATGTAAATAATGAACATTACAGTTTAGTAGTCTTTTCTTTGTTTCTAATGAAATTATCCTGTTTCTTAATATTTTGCTTAGATTTAGGAAAGCTTTTTTCGCTATCCGAATCCCTGCAGAATTCGTTATGAAGTTCTTGAATGTATGATAAACGGCATTACAAATTGGCTTTAAACATAGTTTGATAAGTGTTGCAAATCAGTTGAAATCAGCAATTTAAATATTGATTATTTTTCAAGTAGGCGGGTCAGTGATTTCTTTCCCATTTCCTACTATTGCCCCTATACTGGGTTAAGGAATATATACAGTTCTGTGCTAAAGTAAATGAACCCCTGAGAAAATATTTAAAATCATTATCTCTTTTTTCAAGATAATCAACAAATCTTGATTAAAAAAAATATATATTCCTTAAGAAAAACTTTATTAAATCACTTACACCCACGTTCAAATCTTTTATCAAGTTAGATTAAAAATATTAATTAAAAATTAAAATTTGAGATGTACATGCATAAAATCAAGATAAAATCGAACAACTGTGAAAGTTTTGACAATAAGAGTGGTCAAAAATTGGTATTCATTCTTGTCGGAAACATCTTAAAAAATTATAGAAAAAAAGACTTGTTGACATTGTAACCGCAAAAGTAACAGACAAAAATATTAAATGCAAGGGTTCACTTTTGTAAATCTTAATTTTTACATATATTGCTGGTTCAATATTATTTTGCCCTGTTCTTTCTTTTGTTATTGTTTATTGCAAATTTTGTCAATTCTGTTTGTTAGGCATTTCTACTAAGTACATTTAACCATGTCCAATTACTTTACAAAGATTCGCTCGAGGTCTGCATTGAAATTGAGTCTCTATAGACGTTCAAGCAAGGAACCTCATTGTAATTACAACCACTAATTGTGACAGGAGAACTATTACATTCTGGTTGGGGATAAGAAAGTCTTGGTAGTAAGAGGAGTGAAATTCATAATTGATGACATACCGTGGCCAAATTAGTAATGGCACGCTTCAATTATAATATGTCATGGAAAAAAATAAACTAGGTACACGTTCGATTCCTGTCCAGTGACACATTTTTCCTTTATAGGATTCTGAATTTAAAACGGTTGATATTAATTTCTCTGTTTAAGAAAATAAAAGCCTTCAACCCAGATACTATTTTAACATTAAGATATGTGCAGTAAGTTAGATCCTTGCTAAGGGATTCATGCTTTCAGTTTTGTATTACGCCTAAGCTAGTCTTTGGAAATCATTTTTTGCACTTCGATGCGGCGTAATGCCATATAATCTTGCCTTGCTCGATCAATTATAAGTGAGTAGTGAGTTCAATCATCACTGAGTCCTCCATACTTTCGGCCTTGTGCCACATCTAAGCAACGCTTATAAAATCATTTGGACGCTTCGACGTGGTGCCCGCCTGGCAAGATCAGTTACATGTTAGTAGTGAGGTTGATCCTTACTGGATGTCATATATTCGGGCTTGTGCTACATCTAAGCTACGCTTAGTAAATTGCTATATATATATGGATATATGGAGAAAGAGTGAATAGCCGTCCTGGGTATGAAGATAAACTACATCCGCGTCCTGGGTAAGACGATAAACTATGTCCAACAGCAAGGCCTCTAATGAGGAGATTTTGAGGATCGTGGAACGACCTCTTAATCGTTGGCGTTCCCAGGTCCACAATGACCCTGGATGGGAGCCCCTGTTAGGGTCCCAGCTAGAGTTAATAGTTGACACCCAAACTTCTGTAAAAATAGGTTTTAATAACAGAAATACTTTATAATAAAAAAAATATTACCAGCAATAATTTTTAAAGGAAAAATTATTATCAACAATACTTTAAAAAATACAAGCAATACAAACAGCTATACATTCTTTGAAAAAAAATATGACCAGCTGTAGAATTCTTCCAGGAAAAATATTCTAAGAAATAGATTTTTGAAGAAAAACCTGTTTCCAGCAATAAAAAATTTGTCGGCATTAAATAACCCATTGAGGTTGATATTCCGTAAACCAAACCAAACCAAAGAGTGAATAGCGAAGACAGAAAGAGAATTAAATGCCAACATAAATTGTCTGAAAATCTTCCATTCTCTCTATTTGTGTATTGTAATAGTATCATTCATTGATTTATATCTGAGTTTACCTGGTCAGTTCCTACTCACCACCTGTTCTCCGACCTAATCACTCTGATTAGCCGAGTCCTTCAACACCTTGTATGTATTTGATACGCGTCTTTTTCCTCTAAGGCGCGAAAATTGAACGAGCTTAATGGAAACAGACCGAGTGAAGTTGTAATTTTAATAAAAGAATTCGCCTTCTATTGATCTTGACGTAGCCGTATCTCTAGTTCCTGTACGCAAACCACTTCCACAATTGTGCCTGCTCCATTAGTTCGGCGTTCAAATGGCATATTTAATGCGAGAAATTCTTCCACTAATATTCACTGACCGAACGACAACTTTGCTTGGCTACAGTCCGGACGGTAAGGCATTGTAGTCTTAATCAATGATTGAATGGACAGTAATTAGAGAGAATCGTCTTTATTGGTCATACGCTTGGCTAAGCTAACGTTTCCAATGCTAATGTGACCAATCACTAACACACGAAACCTCTGTTACAATCGAACAGATACGTCGGCTGTTGGTGCTTGGACATCAGCTCTGTTTGTGTCTATTATGTGGTTAAGTACGGACATATATATATATATATATATATATATATCCAAGTATAGGATTGGTGTATACGGAATAAATTGCAATAACCCAAAAATATTATTCTTAAAAGAGTGCTCAATACAGAGTAGAGCAAATATAATTATTTATTCGAAAATTATAACATAAATATGTTATAAAATCACTACAAAAATAGCCATTTTGTTTCAAGACTTCTGGTATTTTATCAAGTGATGGTGTTGAATATAGAATCTATATGCAATACTATCACTTGATAAGACACCAGAAGTGTTGAAACAAAATGGCTATTTTTGTTGTGATTTTAATAACATATTTAGGTTATAATTTTCGAATAAATAATTCTCTCTCTCTCTCTCTCTCTCTATATATATATATATATATATATATATATATATATAAATGAACATTGAAGTCAACACTCATAGGCGGCCTGAAGATTGCGTCTAGCATGAAACAGACTGTGGTCAGTGAGTGGTGACGTCAATATTCACTTTTATATTTGCATACGCTCTATTTCTGATATTGAGCACTTTATGTCAAAAATATAGCACACCTTAAAACTATATATATATATATATATATATGTGTGTGTGTGTGTGTGTGTGTGTGTGTGTGCAGAAATATAGTTTTAAAGTTTTTGGCATAAAGTGCTCAAAACGTCTGGGCAAGATAGTGAAAGATATTAATGCAAAAGATAAAATTTTAATGAAATCGGATAAAACAGGATTTTTTTTAATAAATTATCATCAACGGACTACAACAACCTAATTAAAAAAAAACATTTTGATATGAACTATAAAAAGTCTAATAATAATTATGTGAATATGGTGGAAAACATTAATATTAGTAGTAAAAACATCACAGATAAATTGAATATTAGTCATAGGGTGGGTAATCTTACAAAACAAGAGTGCTATATAACTATAAAGGATCACAAATCCGATTTTGAAGCTAATCCGACTACAAGAATTATTAACCCAAGCCGACCTGAAATCGGCAGAAATAGTAAGGAAATCCTAGAAGGTTAAACCATGAAATAAAGGATTACCTAGGTTTAAAATTTTGTATCAATACCAAAGAATTTACTAATTGGTCTAGTAATATCAAGGAGAAACTAA